AATTTCAAGGCATTATGGTCTGAGAATATGCAGGGGACGATCCCAATCTTTTGGTATCGGTTCAGACCCGATTTGTGACCCAGTATGTGGTCTATTCTGGAGAAAGTTCCATGTGCACTTGAGAAGAATGTGTATTCAGCTGAGTTTGGATGTAAGGTTCTGTAGATATCTGTGAAATCCATCTGGTCCAGTGTATCATTTAAAGCTCTCGTTTCTTTGGAGATGTTGTGCTTAGAAGACCTATTGAGTATAGAAAGAGCTAGATTGAAGTCACCAAGTATAAGTGTATTATTATCTAAGTATTTCTTCGCTTTGGTTATTAATTGATTGATATATTTGGCAGCTCCCACATTCAGGGCATATATATTGAGGATTGTTAAGTCCTCTTGTTGGATAGATCCTTTAAGTATGATATAGCGTCCCTCTTCATCTCTCACTACAGTCTTCGGGGTAAATTTTAGTTTATCTGATATAAGGATGGCTACCCCTGCTTTCTTTTGAGAACCATTCGAATGGTAAATGGTTCTCCAACCTTTTATTTTCAGGCTGTAGGTGTCCTTCTGTCTAAAATGAGTCTCTTGTAGACAGCAAATAGGGTCCTGCTTTTTTATCCAATCTGAAACCCTGCGCCTTTTGAGGGGGTCATTAAGCCCGTTCACGTTCAGAGTTACTATTGACAGATGTGAGTTTAGTGTCACCATGATATCTATTCAGTCCTTGTTTTTGGATTGTTCCACTGAACTTCTTAAAGGGGAATTTTAAGAGTCCCCCTTAAAATTTCTTGCAGAGCTGGTTTGGAGGTCACATATTCTTTCAGTTCCTTCCTGTCTTGGAAGCTCTTTATCTCTCCTTCCATTTTGAATGAGAGCCTTGCTGGATAAAGTATTCTTGGTTGCATGTTCTTCTTATTTAGGACCCTGAATATATCCTGTCAGCCCTTTCTGGCCTGCCACGTCTCTGTGGAGAGGTCTGCTATTACCCTAATACTCCTCCCCATAAAAGTCAGGGATTTCTTGTGTCTTGCTGCTTTAAGGATCTTCTCTTTATCTTTGGAATTTGCAAGCTTTACTATTAAATGTCGAGGTGTTGAACGGTTTTTATTGATTTTAGGGGGGATCTCTCTATTTCCTGGATCTGAATGCCTGTTTCCCTTCCCAGATTAGGAAAGTTTTCAGCTAGGATTTGTTCAAATACATATTCTGGCACTCTGTCCCTTTCGGCGCCCTTGGGAACCCCAATTAAACGTAGGTTTTTCTTCCTCAGTCTGTCGTTTATTTCCCTCAATCTATCTTCATGGTCTTTTAATTGTTTGTCTCTTTTTTCCTCAGTTTCCCTCTCTGCCATCAACTTGCTGTGTCACTCGTTCTTCCACCTCGTTAACCCTTGTCATTAGGAGTTCTAGTTTGGATTGCATCTCATTCAATTGATTTTTAATTTCTGCCTGATTAGCTCTAAATTCTGCAGTTATGAAGTCTCTTGAGTCCTTTATGCTTTTTTCTAGAGCCACCAGTAGCTGTATAATAGTGCTTCTGAATTGGCTTTCTGACATTGAATTGTAATCCAGATTTTGTAATTCTGTGGGAGAGAGGGCTGTTTCTGATTCTTTCTTTTGAGGTGAGGTTTTCCTTCTAGTCATTTTGCTCAGTGCAGAGTGGCCAAAAGCAAGTTGTATTGGGAAAAGGAGAAAAAGAGAGGAGAGAAAGAAGGAAAGAAAATAGAAAAAGAAAAAAGAAAAAAGGAAGAAAAAAAAAAGAAAGAAAGAGAAAGGAAAAAAAAGGGTGGGGGAAGGAAACAAAAAGCAAAAAACAAAAACAAAAAAACAAAAACAACAACAGCAACAACGAAAAAACCATGGGGGAGTATCTTCTGATTCTGTAGACTTTAAGTCCCTTGACTTCCCCTGGAACTGGTCCCTCTAGCTGGTCTTCTGGGGGAGGGGCCTGCTGTGCTGATTTTCAGGTGTTAGCACTTGGTGGAGCTGCTCTGCCCCTGCCTGCTGCAGGGCTCAGCGGGGGTTGTTTACCCCGTGAGGCCCCAGGAGGAACAACCGCAGTGGCAGCGGCAGCTCTGGAGCCCTAGAGTCAGCTCCCGCAGTAACTACAGAGCTCTCCGTCTGCAGGGCCTGGAGGCTCCGGGGCGGGGCCGCTGATCTGCTCAGCTCGGGGCAGGAGCGTCCTTGCTGTCCTGGGCCCTCCCGGCCTCTGCCTGTCCTGGGGAGAGGCTGGATCCTGGCTGTGTCCCGGCGCCCTGTGCTGCGGGGCCTGCGCTGTTGGATTCGCGCCCCCGGCCGCGCAGCCCAAACGGTGGAGCCGCCGCCTGAGCCCCTCCGCGCTGCTCCCGGGCCGCGCAGCCCCCTCCGCGGAGCTGGCGCCCGAGCCCCTCTGAGCTGCTTCCCGAGCGGAGCGCGCAGCCCCCTCCGTGCAGAGCCTCTTCCTCTGCCCGAGCCCCTCCGAGCTGCTCCCGGGTCCCGCCGTGCGCGCTGCAGCCCTTAGGGAGCTCGGCGCACTCTCCCCGGGGCGCAGTTCCTCTGTTACTGTCCCAGGGAGCCCGAGGGCATCCACGCCCTCCCGGGTCCTGCTCCAACTCCCTGCGAGCCCCTTTCCGCCCGCCCGGGAAGGTTGGTGCAGCTCCTACTCCTCCGGGACGGGGCTCTCCTGTCCTGGGGACACTTGCCCCGGCCTCAGCCCGGCTCCTCGCGGGGCCCCTCCCCCTGGAGGCCTTTTGTTCCTTTATTTTTTCCCTCGTCTTCCTACCTTGATAGAAGCGCGAACTCTTCTCACTGTAGCCTTCCAGCTGGTCTCTCTTTAAATCTCAGGCCGAATTCATAGATTTTCAGGATGATTTGAAGATTATCTAGGTAATTGGTGGGGACAGGTGATTTGGGGACCCTGCTCTTCCCACATGTAAATATCTTGAGAGGAGTCTCCAACCTGTGGTAAGAGTGAAAATGTTCATCTCACTTAACTCACTTTGAAACTCCTCACTCAGGGTTATAAGTCTGTAGTTTGTTTCTCAGACTCCTTTCTTACCTTCTTGTAAGAACCCCCTCCCTCTCCTCCTAGCTTCCTGAATTCTCGGAGAGGTCCAGAGGACCTGACCTCACTTCCCTTTTCCCATTCCCATTGTCTGAGCACTGAGGAAAGTTGAACCCTCCGTCCTCAACCGCAAACTTTAGAGCTTTCCCTGCTCTCACCTTCTAACAAGAAACATTGTGTGGTAGAGATTAGACTCTAGCACTTGAGAAAAAAGAGATGCAAATTCCATTAAGAAGAGGTGATCTCTAATACATTCTTATGTATTCTATTCAAAAACGAGCTATAGTGTACATATAGGAAACAAGTAATCAATTACTTTTACCCAGAGCAAAGTGACATACACATTTATCCTTTTTCCAATGTGGTCTGCCAGAAGTGTTCAAGACCATCCTGAGGATGATGAAAGAATCCTAGATAAGCATGCCATGGCCTTACAGCAACTCCTTTGAGCTGAATAATTCAGTCATGCAGGGCTGGTCCTCCTCAGAGCAAGCTGAAGTTGTTAATTCCTAGTTACCTGTGAATACTTGGAGTCTTATCCATCCCTTCAGAAGCCAACGGTTAAATAGACAAAACAATACCTAGGGTAACTTAAAAACAAAATGGAGAAATATGGAGGGAGCCTCTACTCAGAAATAATATTCTTGACATTTGTTATTTGGAGTGTTCTCTACTACCAGGTAGCTAGTGGGGGTGTTTTTTTTAGCTAAAAGGAGGAGCAGTATGATTAGTCAGTTGAAGGAGAGACATTCTATAAATAATGTACCATTGGCTGCAACTCACCCAAAATTGGAACCTATCAGTTACAATTCCTATCTCAGTAAGAATATTAGATTTCAGAAATTATTACACAGAAACTATAATAACCAGGAAAATAGTCCCCCCTTGCCTAAATCAGAGCTTTTTTATTTATTTTAATTTTTTAAAATTATTTATTTATTAGAGATAGAGAGAGAGAGGCGGAGACACAGGCAGAGGGAGAAGCAGGCTCCATGCAGGGAGCCCGACGTGGGACTCGATCCCGGGTCTCCAGGATCCCGCCCTGGACCAAAGGTGGCACTAAACTGCTGAGCCACCCGGGCTGCCCCTAAATCAGAGCTTTTTAATGTGGGCATCCAAGTTCTCTAAGCCATTAAGCTTAAGACTTTTCCATTTGGTGGAAGAAATTGTTAAGAGTCACTGTGGCCAAGGTTGGGCTGGGAGTGGGAATGAACCATAAGCAGACTCAAGGGATCCTAAAAGGTTGTTAGAGATGGTCTAAAACTGTGGTAGTAGGTGCATACTTGGTAAATTTGTTAAAAATCAGATATGCACAGTCACATGAATTTTACAGTATGAATTATACCATAATAAAGTTATTTAAAAAGCAAGAAAATGTGTAGACCTCTTAAAACTCCATTATAAATCTTTCAATATAAGGTATTACTCTCTCATCTTTCCCCATAAATTCTTCCTTTCTTGTTACACCTTAGCTCTTCTGACATCAAATCTTTGTCCTGTAACCTCTAAAAAACATGCCCTCCTTTCAGTTTCCTTGTTTTTCATTATTTTTGTAAAATAATTTTATATTTAAAAATACATATTTAGGAAGTAGAGCTAGAAGGCAGAATACATGAAACACACATTACCCTGCAGAGCTGTGTCTAAGGGTGAGGGGAGATTGCATTCTGCACTCTTCTCTGCCCTTTCACATTCCTGGTAAGGTGTGGGTGACGCAGGTCTGTTGCCCCCAGCTTCCAGCTCGCTCCTGTGTACTGTACGAGTGGAAGTAAAGATGCCCTCCCACTGGTCAGCCCTGAGGCGCAAGACCTGGGACAAGCCAGTTTGGCCAGAGTCTTCACCCTTTCCCTCAGTGAACGTATGGATTTAAAATGCTCAGATCAAGGTGTGTACTTGTGTGTACTGTGGATATTAGATTTAAGAGATTAAAAAAATTAAAACCCTGCTAATTTCTCATTCTTATAGCTCAAATCTAACCCAAGTGAAAACGAAGAAAAGGAAGCCCAGTCCCAAATTGTGAAATCGGACGAAATGCAGCGTTTGCGTTCCCAAGCACTTGATGCTTTCGAGAGCTCAGATTATACTGCTGCTATAACCTTCCTTGATAAAATTTTAGAGGTAAGTTTCTTAGACATTGCGGCTGGCAGGCCTGACACATACTGCTTTTTACTCTAAGGCATGTATACACTTTGACATGTTAAGTATTACAAGAAACCTAAATAGGATAAAATCAGATTGGTCTTTGGGCTTTTCGCTCTAAGGTAAAAAGATGGTGTTTATTTAGAACAAAATTTGGAACTGACGTTTTCGGTAAATGTACCAAATGTGCTGTGGAGTAAGAGTTAAATATTTTTATATATTGCTGGCTTTGCTACTTTTGTTTGCTTTTACATTTTGTGGGGAGAGAACTCTAGAGGTTAGTAATGGGGTAAAAGATGAAAGTTGAAGGAAAAGGAAAAATAATGTTTGTGGCAAAGAGGAGTGTTTAGAATGAAGAGTTTCTAGAGAAGAAACAGATGAAGAGTTGACAAGATCCAGAGTTCTTGATAGGAAACCTAAGTCTATAGTTTTCTTTCCTCTGTAGGACTTAGTGACAGATGGTTTCAGAAGAAAGTCTACTAAAATATTCAAGTAGAGGCAACTCTAATTCATGTTTATCATTTTCATAGAACTTTGATATATGGTTTCACTTAATCTTGGCAGTAAACTTGAATGTTCAGTAGGTGCTTCTTTGATAATTTTGTAGGGGAAATTATGTGATGTCCAGTAAAACTAATTTTTTATTATTTTGTTAATGCTTTATTAAGGAAATATAAAGTTATAATATTTACCTTCCAGTAGTTAGACTATCCATTTTGACCTAGCTTATTATACAAGGTATTTAATTAATGTTGATTTTGATATTTTAATGTATGTGAAAAGTTGACATGATTTTAGAAAGAACAACTCTAAGAGATAGGTAAAAGATAAGTCCACAGGCTTTGTTGGTGGACTTTAGGCTTACATTTTGGAGAATACTAGTATATTTATGAACATTGTTGACTTTTTGATAAAGTAGACATGGTAAAGCTTCAGCCTTCCCTCATTGTTTTCCTCTTTTCTTTCTTTTTGTGATATGAGGATTTAATTTCAAAGAGACAATAATTTATAAAAGAATTCTGTTATTAGAACAGAAATATTTTGCAGATGTGGAACCTACTTTTTTTTGAGACTAGAGATTAGAATTGTTGATTAAGTACAAAAATCTGATTATAGAATATTCTTTTCAAAATCGGATATGCTTCACTGGGAACAACCTTTTAATAGTAATGCCATGTATTCTTATTTTTGTCAAAAAATAAATTGTATCAAATTTTCTAATACTATTTACAGTATGGAAATCACATTAACAGAAGATGGTTTCAGGTTGATAAATATGTGGGATGGAAGTATTAGTGTGCATAGTTTGCTGTTTCTTAAAGTCTAGTTCTCTTGTTTCTTAAGGTTTGTGTTTGGGATGCAGAACTACGGGAACTTCGAGCTGAATGTTTCATAAAAGAAGGGGAACCTAGGAAAGCAATAAGTGACTTAAAAGCTGCATCAAAATTGAAGAATGATAATACTGAGGCTTTTTATAAAATTAGCACACTGTACTATCAACTAGGAGACCACGAACTGTCCCTCAGGTCAGTTCTAGTGACATGCACATCTCATCAACTTTTTATTGTTGGCAGTATGATATTAATCCCATTTTCTTTTTAATTTTAAATTAAAACTGTGGCTAAGGCTGTTTTTACATTCTTTACCTACTTATATATTTTGTGTTATCCCTAAGTTATTCTGTTTCTATATAGTTTATTTTCATGAGCTATGTTTATTAAATAGGAGAGATACTGTATTTGCAGAAGCAAAATGGGGCGTTTAATGTATAATCTTAAATCATTTTAATTTGAATTAATACATGTGGACAACAATGACATATGTAAAAGTGGTAAATTATCAAGTCTGTGTGTTTAATTGTTACAAAAAATACCTTTTATTGTGATTTCTGTATTTGGTATGGAAGACTACTCATTGATTTTTTTTACTCGGGGTATTTTCCTCTCTTTAAATATGTGAACAGCGAAGTTCGTGAATGTCTTAAACTTGACCAGGATCATAAAAGGTGTTTTGCACACTATAAACAAGTAAAGAAACTGAATAAACTAATCGAGTCAGCTGAAGAGCTCATCAGAGATGGCAGGTAAGAACATGCTGGTTGCACTGTGCAACCTCCCTTATATGTCTTTTCTGGGCACAAAACAATTGAACTGCTTGCTCTTCTATTCTTTAGCCATTGAAGATAGAGTATCTTAGATAGTATTGGCCTTGGCAAAATTACTACAAATATACATTTTTAAAAATAAGGCAAATATAAATAATAGTAACTGCATGGTATTCTTATCAGTGTATATATTTATATTTCACTAAATATTTATTGAGTATCTCCTGTGTCAGGTATTGACAATATAGTAGGGGCACAGAAATGAATATGACATAGTTTTTGGTCTTAAGAAGCTTCTGCAAGAGACTCATTTTAGAAGGACACCTACAGACTAAAAAAGTGAAAGGTTGTTGAACCATTTACCATTCAAATAGTCCTCAAAAGAAAGCAGGGGTAGCAATCCTTGTATCAGATAAATTAAAGTTTATCCCAAAGACTGTAGTAACAGATGAAGAGGGACACTATATCAAACTTAAAGGATCTATCCAACAAGAGGACCTAACAATCATGAATATTTATGCCCTTAATATGGGAGCTGCCAAGTATATCAATCAATTAATAACCAAAGTAAAGACATACTTAGATAATAATACACTAATACTGGGAGACTTCAACATGGCACTTTCTGCAAATGACAGATCTTCTAAGCACATCTCCAAAGAAACAAGAGTTTTAAATGATACACTGGAACAGATGGATTTCACAGATATTTACAGAACTTTACATCCAAATGCAACTGAATACACATTCTTCTCAAGTGCACATGGAACTTTGTCCAGAATAGACCGCATACTGGGTCACAAATCAGGTCTCAACCGATACCAAAATATTGGGATTGTCCCCTGCATATTTTCAGACCATAATGCTTTGAAACTTGCTCAATCACAAGAAGAAATTTGGAAGAAACTCAAACACGTGGAGGTTAAAGAGCATCCTGCTAAAAGATGAAAGAGTCTACCAGTAAATTAGAGAAGAACTAAAAAGATTCATGAAAACTAATGAAAATGAAGATACAGCCATTCAAAATCTTTGGGATACAGCAAAAGCAGTCCTAAGGGGGAAATACATTGCAATACAAGCATCCCTCAAAAAATTGGAAAAAACTCAAAACATAAGCTAACCTTGCACCTAAAGGAACTAGAGAAAGAACAACAAATAAAACCTACACCCAGCAGAAGAAGAGAGTTAATAAAGATTCGAGCAGAACTCAGTGAAATAGAGACCAGAACTGTAGAACAGATCAACAAAACTAGGAGTTGGTTCTTTGAAAGAATTAATAAGATAGATAAATCATTAGCCAGCCGTATTAAAAACAAAAAAGACTCAAATTAATAAAATCACGAATGGAAAAGGAGAGATCACAACCAATACCAAGGAAATACAAACAATTTTAAAAACATATTATAAGCAGCTGTATGCCAATAAATTAGGCAATCTGGAAAGAAGAAATGGACGCATTTCTGAAAAACCACAAACTACCAAAACTGGAACAGGAAGAAGTAGAAAACCTGAACAGGCCAATAACCAGGGAGGAAATTGAAGCAGTCGTCAAAAACCTCCCAAGACACAAAAGTCCAGGGCCAAATGGCTTCCCAGGGGAATTCTATCAAATGTTTAAAGAAGAAACAACCTATTCTACTAAAGCTGTTCTGAAAGATAGAAAGGGACCGAAGACTTCCAAACTCATTTTATGAGGCCAGCATCACCTTAATTCCAAAAGCAGACAAAGACCCCACCAAAAAGGAGAATTATAGACCAATATCCCTGATGAACATGGATGCAATAATTCTCAACAAGATACTGGCCAAGAGGATCCAACAGTACATTAGGCATATTATTCACCATGACCAAATGAGATTTATACCTGGGATGCAAGGCTGGTTCAACACTCGTAAAGCAATCAACGTGATAGATCATATCAACAAGAGAAAAAACAAGAACCATATGATCCTCTCAATAGATGCAGAGAAAGCATTTGACAAAATACAGCATCCATTCCTGATCAAAACTCTTCAGAATGTAGGGATAGAGAGCACATTCCTCAGCATCTTAAAAGCCATCTACGAAAAGCCCACAGCAAATATCATTCTCTCTCTCTCTCTCTCTCTCTCTCTCTTCTTTTTTTTTTTTTTTTTCAAATATCATTCTCAATGGGGAAACACTGGGAGCCTTTCCCCTAAGATCAGGAACATGACAGGGATGTTCACTTTCACACTGCTATTCAACATAGTACTAGAAGTCCTAGCCTCAGCAATCAGGCAACAAAAAGAAATAAAAGGATTTCAAATTTGCAAAGAAGTCAAACTCTCCCTCTTTGCAGATAACATGATACTGTACATAGAAAACCCAAAAGACTCCACCTCAAGATTGCTAGAACTCATACAGCAATTTGGTACCGTGGCAGGATACAAAATCAATGCCCAGAAATCAGTGACATTTCTATACCCATAATGAGACTGAAGAAAGAGAAATTAAGGAGTCAATCTCACTTACAATTGCACCCAAAAGCATAAGATACCTAGGAATAAAACTAACCAAATAGGTAAAGGATCTATACCCTAAAAACTACAGAACACTTCTGAAAGAAATTGAGGAGGACACAAAGAGATGGAAAAATATTCCATGCTCATGGATTGGAAGAATTAATATTGTGAAAATGTCAACGCTATCCAGGGCAATTTACACATTTAATGCAATCCCTATCAAAACATCTTGGACTTTCTTCAGAGAGTTTGTGTGGAATCAGAAAAGACCCTGAATAGCCAGGGGAATACTGAAAAAGAAAACTGCCGCCGGGGGCATCACAATGCCAGATTTCGAAGCTGTGGTCATCAAGACAGTGTGGTACGGGCACAAAAACAGACACATAGATCAATGGAACAGAATAGAGAACCCAGGAATGGGCCCTCAACTCTATGGTCAACTAATATTCAACAAAGGAGGAAAGACTATCCACTGGAAAAAAGACAGTCTCTTCAATAAATGGTCTCTTCAATAAATGGGAAAATTGGACAGCCACCTGCAGAAGAATGAAACTAGACCATTCTCTTATACCATACACAAAGAAAACTCAAAATGGATGAAAGATCTAAATGGGAGACAAGAATCCATTAAAATCCTAGAGGAGAACACAGGCAACACCCTTCTTGAACTTGGCCACAGTAATTTCTTGCAAGATACATCTAGGAAGGTAAGGGAAACAAAAACAAAAATGAACTGTTGGGACTTAAGATAAAAAGCTTCTGCACAGCAAAAGAAACAGTCAATAAAACTAAAAGACAACCTACAGAATGGGAGAAGATATTTGCAAATGACACATCAGATAAAGGCTAGTATCTAATATCTATAAAGAACTTATTAAACTCAACAGCAAAGAAACAAACAGTCCGATCATGAAATGGGCAAAAGACATAAACAGAAATCTCACAGAGGAAGACCTAGACATGGCCAACAAGCACATGAGAAAATGCTCCACATCACTTGCCATCAGGGAAATACAAATCAAAACCACAATGAGATACCACCTCACACCAGTGAGAATGGGGAAAATTAACAACACAGCAAACAAATGTTGGAGAGGATGTGGAGAAAGGGGAACCCTCCTGCACTGTTGGTGGGAATGTGAACTGGTGCAGCCACTCTGGAAAACTGTGTGGAGGTTCCTCAAAGAGTTAAAAATAGAACTACCCTATGACCCAGCAATTGCACTGCTGGGGATTTACCCCAAAGATACAGATGCAGTGAAACAGCAGGACACCTGCACCCCAGTGTTTATAGCAGCAATGTCCACAATAGCCAAACTGTGGAAGCAACCTTGGTGTCCATTGAAAGATGAATGGACAAAGAAGATGTGGTCTGTGTATACAATGGAAGATTACTCAGCCATTAGAAACAACGATTACCCATCATTTGCTTTGAAACAACAAATACCCACCATTTGCTTCAATGTGGATGGAATTGGAGGGTATTACGCTGAGTGAAGTAAGTCAGTCGGAGAAGGACAAACATTATATGGTCTCATTCATTTGGGGAATATAAAAAATAGTGAAAGGGAATAAAGGGGAAAGGAGAGAAAATAAGTGGGAAATATCAGAGAGGGTGATAGAACATGAGAGACTCCTAACTCTGGGAAACGAACAAGGGGTGGTGGAAAGGGAGGTTGGGGCGGGGGATGACTGAGTGACGGGCACAGAGGGGATCACTTGATGGGACGAGCATGGGTTGTTATGCTATATGTTGACAAATTGAACTCCAATAAATAGAAGCTTCTAGATTAGTGTGGGAGATAGACATATAAGTTGTAAAAGATAATGTGTCTAAGGTATCTAAGACATGTACATGGAGTATATAGAAATTTTCTTGTATAGGATTCTGGGTTAACCGTCCTTTTTGTTACAGCACCTGAAAAATACTGTACCATTTTCTTGTGCCCTCTGTGGTTTCTGAAGAGAAATCATTGTTAGTCTCATGGTTTTACCGCTAAAAATAAGGCATTTTCCTCTGACTGCTTTCAAGACTTTTTCCTTTGTCTCAAGTATTTACATGTTTCTGATCTATCTTGGTGTGGATTTCTTTGTTTTTATCCTATCTGGAGTTTACTAGCTTCTAGAATACATAGGTTTATGTCTTGTCACATTTGGGAAGTTCAGCTGTTATTTCTTGGGGTACTTTTCCAATCCTCCTGTTTTAGGTTCTAGCTGATGGAAACATTAGCTTTCCTGGACAGCCCTTCAGGTGTCTGAAGCTCTGCTCGTTTTTCTTAGCTCATGTTCTTTCTGATCAGATCTGGTCACCTCCATTCTGCTGCTGAAGCATAGTCAGTGAACTTGTTATTTGGATTTTTCTGTTTTTCAGTTCCATTTGGTTACTCTTTTGTAGCTGAGGCCGAGGCTGCCTGTTGCTCTCATTCACTGTGAGCGTCTGTATTACTGCTGCTGTTTGCATGGCTGCTTTTAGATCCTTGTCAGATAGTTCTAATGTCTCTGTCCTTTTGGGGTTGGAACTGCCCTTTTCTCATTCGGTTTGAGATCTTACTGTTTCTTGGTATGATGAGTGGTTTTTAATTGACACCTGCATACTGTGATTTTGTAAGACTGTTTTCAAATTAAATCTTCTGTTTTGGCTGGCTTTTTCTGACATGGTTCCAGCAAAGTAGGGGTGGGCATCATTTCGTTGCTGTTGGGGAGGCAGAGGTGTCCCGCTTGACCTTCATTGATACTTCAATTATGGGGCTTCTCACTACTGCTGGGAGCAGCTGAGGGTTCAGGGCACTATTTCCAGCCATGGGTCAAAGTCCTGGTTCCCCACTTGGCCTACTGACAACACCTTGTTAGGGGTGTAGGCTCCTTGTCATAGCCTTACCAGAACAGAAGGAAGCTGAGGCTCTTCTCTGGAGCTGCTAGCCTTGGTAGGGGTGGGACCGTACTCTCTTTCCTGTGGGGTTTGGCTGGAGTAGAGCTGTTATTGTCAAAAAGCTTTCCATCTTGCTCGGCTGCCCTTCCCAGGTTCTTCGGCTTGAGAGACCCAGCTTTTGCTGGGTTTTTGGTATAACTGTCTGCACCCACTGGCATTTCTGGGTTGCTGGCTTTTTCAGCTTCCATGTCTGAGGTATATGAAGCCCCCCCCCAAAAAAAAAGAACCCCAGCCCCAGGAAGTTTACCATATATATTATGTTTCCCTCAGGTCCTAAGGTCCCTAGTTATGTTTTTGGTTTTTTTTTTTTTAAGTTTTACCATTATTTTAATTAATGAAACAAAATCAATGTAAGTCAAGTTATGTGCATCGGTGTCTCTAACAAATGTAAGAGGTAAATATGAATTTTATATGACAAAATGTCTTCTCTATTATAACAAATTTCCAATAATCTGACAATTGTCTTTCACAAAATTACCCTCAAATTCTAAGCAAAGTATGCAAATTGGAAGTTAATTCTAAACATGCATTAGTATCTTCTTATCCAGTTTGGTGTGAAGAAACTGAAGAATTTAGGTCTGACCAAGATACTAATGGTGAACACGAGGATTCTTTCCTCCTTGTGTCTGTGCTCCCAGCCCCACAAGTATAGCTACCTGCCCAGCCACAGTGCCCAGTGTAGAATTAACAAGTATATTACATCTGTATTATTGACATGACTTTGATTTGTGTGCATAAAACATAAGCATATCAGCATTAAAAAGAACACAGCATTTGGGGTGAGTTCAGTCTAAATGTGCCGTCTTCAAATGGTCTACTTTCTTCTCTTTCTGAGTCTTTTCATATTTTCACAAATAGGTAATGCCTTGAGTATTTTAATTTAAATTGTACGTAGTTGGAGGAACTGAGGAGAGTACATCTGTTCCACTTTTCCAAAAGCTAGCTTTTTTTTAAGTGAAGTGCAGTTATTTTCTAATTGAACTTTTTAGTTTTAGCTAATTATACTTTCAGATGTAGTTGTAAGGCTAAAAGCAATGTTTTGTATTCTCGATTCAGTGAGAGTTTTGGACCCTCTTGAAAAACTGCAGAACAATATCCCAGCTATGATTTTAACATTGATAGCTTGTTTTAAATGTTATATTTAAGTCTGTGTTTTAATTCATCAACATTTAAATGTGAAGATTGTAGTGCATTTTGGGAATAATGTGCTACAGTGGTGTAAAAATAGAAATTTTCATTTGCCATTGCTGAGGAAATTAACTTAGTATATAACATGACTAATACTTTTCACTAGTTTAAAAAAAATGCCGAAATAGCTTTTATTGTTCTTAGAAAGTGAGAATTTAAGCCGTTTCCTTCTGCAAGAAACTACATTGTACTTAGCTATGAATATTGACATTCGTTATATAAAATAACATGTAGCTAATGGGCTCTGTTATTTCATGAAGGTGTATAGTAACCAAGAAATAAAACCTGATCTTTGTTTTTCTGAAAATGCTCTGTGTAAGTCAGACTTTCACAAGGTGTTTTACACAGTTTCAAAATCATGAGTATTTTTCTGTAAAGAAATTCATCATTTTGGGGGTGCCTAGGTGGCTCAGTCAGTTAAGCATCTGCCTTCAGTTCAGGTCATGATCCCAGGATACTGGGATCGAGCCCCATGTTAGGCTCCCTGCTCAGCAGGGAGTCTGCTTCTCCCTCTCCTTCTCCCTCTCCCCCTGCTCGTGTTCTCTCTTAAGTAAATAAATAAATAAAAATTTAAAAACAAATTCATCATTTAGTTTGATTGGTACTCACAGGTATGCTTTGATTTGTACATACACATTTCCTTTGTGTGTTTTATCTCCTGTTGATTGCAGAGGTGCCTTTTTTGCCTTTTTTGAAGCCACCTGCTCATTCAGTTGAATTGATTAAGCAACATATAGTGAAGAGTAGAGGGTCCTTTCTTTAGCTCAATAGAATTTCATTGTTACTCATCATGATATGCTCATTCATAGATACACAGATGCGACCAGCAAATATGAATCTGTCATGAAAACAGAGCCAACTGTTTCTGAATATACGATTCGTTCAAAAGAAAGGATTTGCCACTGTTTTTCTAAGGTAAGATTTGATTGGTTCCCAGAAATGTAAAAACTTAATATGTGGAATAACAACCATAAATCTATTTTCTCACATTTATTTGTAGGATGAGAAGCCTGTTGAAGCTATTCGAATATGTTCTGAAGTTTTACAGATGGAACCTGACAATGTGAATGCTCTGAAAGATCGAGCAGAGGCCTATTTAATAGAGGAAATGTATGATGAAGGTAAATCTTTAAGGATTTTGATTTGCAGTACCTAAAAGTTGATGTATATGAAATTAGTACGTTTAACATCCTTTTGTTTAGAATAAGTTTACCAGAGTAGCTAAAAATGTTGATGACTGTAGGAAAATGGCAGAGAACTTGAAAATTATTCTCCCTTAGTGGAACTTGAAAGGTATATCATATGAGGATAGCATTCTGCTCTTGAAACCAGTTCAGTAGAATATAAAAATAAAAAAATTTAGCCTTTATTTGTTGTAGACAAGTTAGAATAGGTAAATAGCAAAATAGAAAATTTGAGTAATAGATTTCATATCATCTGGAGCTAACTGCTATTCATCTGGGATTTAGATCTTTCAGACTTTTTCTGTGCATATATATTAGTCTGTTTTATGCATGTGCATAAAAGATATAGATATATTCTGTGCATATACACAGTATACATATTATACCTATAACATACATATATGTGTCATATATGCCTGAATATAAAATGGTCTTCTGGACCATTGAGCTATTGAGTGACTTCTGGATAGTTGCTTTGTTCAAGCTGAGGTAACAGAGTTTACTGCTAGATGTTGTAAGGGTCTTAAATAAATAAGAGCAGAGTCCTAACTTTGGAACATAACTAAGGCATATACAATAATATATATATTTAAAAAAGAATCCTTTCATATTTGTTGTTTGTGACTTTTTTCATTTGGCAGTATGCTATGAACATTTAGGAAAAACAGTTTTTAAAAGAAGAGAGCCTTATGGCCCTTATTGCAAAGTTTTCATTTCAAATCAGGTAAAGCATTTTAAATTGAAAATGGTAAGAGTATTTTTCTGGTAAAACTAGGCTTGTGGTGCTCTCCCCTCCCCTCCAATTAAGTGCTAAATATTTATATGATAAAATGTAAAGCTATTAATATGTCTTAAATTTAATGTCATGTTAAAGTAATTATATTATGGTAAGCCGTAATCCTTGATAACATTTTAAATGCAATGAGACTGTATCTGCAGCAATGATAATTCAGATAGGTTTGTGGTACTTTTTTTTTTTTTTAACAGAAAGAGTGTGCAGGTGGGGAGGGGCAGAGGGAGATGGAGAGAGAGAGGGAGAGAGACTGAATCTTAAGCAGGCTTCATGCTTAGCAGGGCTTGAGCTCATGATCCGGAGATTGTGACTTGAGTTGAAATCAAGAGTAGGATGCTTAACTGACCGAGCTACCCAGGCACCCCTCTTTTTTTTTTTTTTTTTTTTTTATTTTCGATAGTCATACAGAGAGAGAGAGAGAGAGAGAGAGAGAGAGAGAGAGGCAGAGACACAGGCAGAGGGAGAAGGCAGGCTCCATGCATCGGGAGCCTGACGTGGGATTCGATCCCGGGTCTCCAGGATCGCGCCCTGGGCCAAAGGCAGGTGCCAAACCGCTGCGCCACCCAGGGATCCCCCCCCCTTTTTTTTAAGGCACACTGATTATTCACTTTTTTTTCCTGCTTTTCACAATTTGAAAAGAATCTAGCTCCTAAGCAGTTTCCGATGAGTGATAACAACTATAGTTACTGCTATTTGTGAGACATTTTTTAGTATAGTCCTTGAGGTTTGATTGAGGCTTGAAATGTACGTAATCAAAATGATCTTCAAGAAGATCCTGTTAGCATCCTTGTTCTTTCACGTTTGAGCTACTGTGTCTACTCAGTGAGATTGGCTCTCAGATTTTGCATTGGCATTAGTTTTTGGAACTCTTCATCAAAGGTACTTTTGTCAATCCTCAGCTCTAATTGTGAAATTTGAGAAGTTGCAGAATATAAAAAGCTTAGCTGTTAAAAGAAGGTTAAATCTTGTAGGCTGCTACAGATAATTTGAAGATGCTTTTGTAATTTGAATGGTAAACTGATTTGTTTTTTTAGAGAAACTTGACAGCTTCATTCTTTTTTTTTTTTTTTTTTTAAATTTTTTATTTATTTATGACAGTCACACAGACAGAGAGAGAGAGAGACAGAGACATAGGCAGAGGGAGAAGCAGGCTCCATGCACCGGGAGCCCGACATGGGATTCGATCCCGGGTCTCCAGGATCGCGCCCTGGGCCAAAGACAGGCGCCAAACCGCTGCGCCACCCAGGGATCCCGACAGCTTCATTCTTGATGAAAAAGATGCTTAGTACTAATTTAACAGAATAGCTCTGTCTTTGGAGTCTGTTTTTTCCTTTAAAAATTTCTTTTAAGTAGTTTATTCTTTGTCTTTGTTAGTATGTTTGGATTATACAGTGGGGAATCTTTCTGAATTATGGTTTTAGAGTAAAATGGTTGTTTTAGGGTGCCTGGATGTCTCAGTTGATTAAGCATCTGCCTTTGGCTCAAATCACTATCCCAGGGTCCTGGGATTGAGCCTTACATTGGGCTCCTTGCTCAGTTGGGAGCCTGCTTCTCCCTCTCCCTCTGCATGTACTCTCTCCCCCTGCTTGTGCTCTCTCTCTGTCAAACAAATGAATATTTTTTAAATAAATGGTTGTTTGAGTCACAAGTATGGCAATTAAGCAACCTTATGGAGAAATTGATAATGGAATTTCAATCTCTCAATTTGGGGGGTGGATTGAGATGCGAAGGAGACCTGTATATCTGAAACTGAAGGGTATTACTTGACTTGTTTTGAATTGGAAGTTTAGTGAGTGATGTAGAGGAGTGATAATCTTACTTAACTAGGCTAAATCATATTTTGAAATCCCATGTTAAAATATGAGGGCTTTTTAATTCTGTTTACTGGTTTACCTTTTTTTAAAGTAAGCAGTTTAAAACGAGGTAGGAATATAATGAGTAAAGAAAAACAATGTTTAGGTTAGTGAATAATGGAACATGGAGATTAATTTGGGGATTATGACAGAATCATCAGGAAAAATATTAGGGGATTCCACTCACTAGAAAGTAAGTAAAATAAGACTGTTGTTTGAGGATAATGCTGAAAACATGAAAAATGAAGGAGGCTCTTGAGATCTATATGAGTAATTCTTTTCATAGCTTTTGAGAGGAGCAAACTGACTTTGAAGCAATACTAAATAATCAATAAAGCTCCTTTGAATATAAGGATGATTCAGGTGTCCTTATGACATAAGCAGTTACATTGGCTAGAACTTAAGCTATATGAGGACGTGTGTCTCTTTTATTAAGTGATCCATGTCTGCTTCTTGTGCCTGACACATAGCAGGCAGTCATATATTTGCTGAATGAATGAATGTAGTTTATTTATCAATAAGGTCCTAGTTGAAAGAGTATGGGGTTTAGAATTCATCCTGAATTTGAGTGTGACTGTACCATAAATTTTTTGAAATTGTTACTTGTAGGAAAATTCATATAACATAAAATTGGTCATCTTAGCCATTTTTTTTAAGTTTTTATTTTAATCACTGGGTGCTCATTATGACAAGTGCACTCCTTAATCTCCCATCACCTATTTTCACCCATCCCCTCACCTACTTCCTCTCTCATAACCATGAGTTTGTTCTCTATAGTTAAGAGTCTGAAGGGCGCCTGGCTGGCTCAGTCGGTAGAGCATGTGACTCTTAATCTCAGGGTTATGAATTCGAGTCCCACCTTGGATGTAGAGATTACTTTAAAAAAGAGTATGTTCCTTGATTTGTCTACTTTTCCTTTTGCTCATTTTGCTGTGTTTCTTAAATTCCACAATGAGTGAAATCATAGGTATTTTGTCTTTCTCTGACTTAATCCAGTTAGCATTATACTCTCTAGCTCCATTTCTGTCATTGCAAATGGCAAGATTTCATTCTTTATTATGGCTGAATAACATGCTATTACAAATGTATATCACATCTTTATTCATTCATCTATATCCATGGACACTTCGGCTGCTTCCATATCCTGGCTATTGTAAATAATGCTTCTATACACATAAAACTGCATGTATTCCTTTGAATTAGTGTTTTCATATTCTTTGGGTAAATACCAAAGTATTTGGTGTTGTGATTGCTGGATTGTAGGGTAGTTCTAGTTTTAACTTTTTGAGGAACTGCCATACTGTTTTCCAGAGTGGCTGTACCAGTTTACATTCCCACCAACAGTTTAAGAGAGTTCATTTTTTCCCCACCTTTTTGTCAACACCTGTTGTTTCTTGTGTTATTGATTTTAGCCATTCTCACAGCTCTGAGTGATATCTTATTAGAGTTTTGATACACATTTCTCTAATGATAAGTGATGATGAGCATTTTTTCAGGTGTCTGTTGACTATCTGGGTGTCTTTTTTGAAGAAAGGTCTTTTATGTCTTCTGCCCATTTTTAAATTGGATTGCCTTTTGGGTGTTGAGATTTACAAGAGTCACAAGTATGGCAATTAAGCAACCCCCTGGAGAAATTGATAATGGGATTCCTAGGTCTCTCAATTTGGGGGGTGGATTGAGGTGCTCATACTCGTGACTCTGTTCTTTATATATTTTGGATACTAACCCTTTATCGGATATGTCATTTGCAGATATCTTCTTTCATTTGGTAGGTTGCCATTTAGTTTTGTTGATTATTTCCTTTGTTGTACAGAAGCTTTTTTTTTTTTTTTTTTTTTGATGTAGTTACAATAGTGTATGTTGCTTTTGTTTCCCTTGCCTCAGGAGACCTATCTAGAGAAAAGTTGCTATGGCCAATGTTAGAGAAATTACTGCCTATGCTCTCTTCAAGGACTTTTATGGTTTTAGGTCTCACATTTAGGTCTTTTTTTTTTTTTTTTAAAGATTTTATTTATTCATGAGAGATAGAGAGAGGCAGAGACATAGGCGGATGGAGAAGCAGGCTCCTCACATGGAGCCCGATGTGGGACTTGATCCAGCAACCTGGGATCAGACCCTCGGCCAAAGGCAGATGCTCAACCGCTGAGCCACCCAGGTGTCCCTCACATTTAGGTCTTTAATCCACGTTGAATTTGTTTTTGTGTATGGTGTAAGAACGTGGTCCAGTTTCATTCTTTCGCATGTGGCTGTCCAGGTTTTCCCAACACCATTTGATGAAGAGACTCTCTTTT